GTACCATTATAATATAAACATGGTTTATTTAGTACAATAAAAACTAATATATCGATCATACATAATATTAGAATAACATAACATGGGCTGATTTTAATCTACAGGTACCTACCTAATGTTATTGTGTTGATATAATATTGATCATAATTCATGATGTAGCCTTATAGGGTACGAATTGTTCTTGTTTAGACATTTTTATTATAACCGTTTATGTTTATATTATTATGATAGTTATTGTACTAAAATTGCTGTACGCATAATTTATGTATGGTACCTATATATTTCTAATTTGGAGCTAAACATATTGGTATAACATCATTAGTTGAAGCTTGGAACTATGACGTATGGTAAATATGTCAATAGTAAATGTATAAATTTCAATGCTAAATGTATTTTAAGGATAGATATACTAACACTATACCTGAGTTTTTTTTCGTAATTTGACGTTAAAATCTCAAAAATATAACTTAATTAATATGTACCATATTGTATGGCGAAACAGATTATAATCATTTTGGGGGCATTACCACACTTCAACATTTTAATTAAAATTTTTAAAAATGGATATCGGTATGTTTTAAAATACCTAACCATGGATACACCACTGTATTATCATATAGAATTTCTATTACTACCATTCAATTTTAACTGTATACTAATACATATACTAGGTACTGTACCTAATACTTATATTATAATTAACTAGCTGTCCCACCCGATGTTGTCCGGGCCAAAGTTTATAAAAAAAAAAAAAAAAATAATATATATATTTATAAAAAATGTATATGTAATATTTCTTTTAACTATAATAGTAATATAATATGTAACCGATAGCATTAATAGAAACTATTTGGTTAAGCATCTTTTTCATCTTTTTTTCGCAAGCAGAAGTAAAATCATGTGTTAGCTACCCTTTCGCTACCTATAGGACTTTAAAAAGTAAGCTATAAACATTAAACACCCTACAAGCCTTAAGGATTCTATTGATATAACTTTTATTGAAAACGGTCCGGTACTTTTTAAGGAAATGAATTTCGAACCACATCGATTTTTAGCTGTATAACCACTATTGAAAAAATATAAAATATAGTGCTTTATAGGTGTGTCTTGGATTTAATGTACCTCAGTACAAGGACAAATTTTGCGTCTGTGTACTTTGCTTTGTGAACTAACTCGACTGAGATGGACAATATTAGACTGTGTCATTTTGGATTTGGTATTAATGTGCCATTACTCTTTACATTTTCTCGATAACTCCAAGAATAATTAAAAATTTTCTCAAAATCGGTTAAGTAGTTTTTCAGTACCTATGTAAGCTACAGACATACACTCAGCTCTCATATTTGTTGTAGGATATAATTTCTTTATTCGAAACCATAAACACAACGCATTGATGAATGCTTTTATCTCATTTGCCCGAGAAACAGATGGCAACCATAAAAAAATAATAACGAAAGAATTAAAAATTAAAAAAACTAATTTCTCCTTTTACTACAACCCTTTAAAAAAAAAAAAAAACGATTTCCATCGTAAATATTACGTAAATCCTTGTTTGAAAACCTCTTCGGGTTGGACCTACGGGGTATTGATTTCATAATATTATCATGCATCATGTGTTTTTTCTGTGATATTATTATGAACTCTGATAGTAATGGTAGGTATATTTTAATACACATAATATGTGCAGTGTGTTTTCTTTTTTTTTGTTACTTACCTATTTGTAATTTATTAATAATATACCTACATTTATTGTCTATAATATGAAACAATATTTAATACCTCGATGACATTAAATATTAATCTTATTTATTTAATTAATGTTCAAGTACAATATAATAATGTAGAAGTCTAAAAAGCTGGTACAATAAAATATTTGTTGTAAATTTATTCTTTAGATCTTAAAATTGTAAATACTTAATTAAATTCAAAAAGTTCATCGAATACTGGTGAATAGAAAATAAATACCAATCCACATCGACGTTTGGCATTCAATGGCGTACTAACAAACATATTGCAAAACACCGTTCGTATCAAGAACTTCTTCCAAAATTAGATTTTCTTTTTTTTACAGTTATAACAGCAGTGTTTAATTGTAATAGTTTGAGACATTTTTGATCGATAATTTTGTGTGAATTCATGAGGTAAATATTTCATTTAGGTATTTAAAAACATTTTTTAATTGAAATATTTGTAAGAATGTACATTTTTTAATTAACCTTCTGGTAAGTTTGATGATTATTTATTGAAATATATTTTGATCCAGCAAATATGAATATTACTAATGCTGTTTTTTTATTCACACAAATAATTTAAAATAGTAAAATTTGAGTAAAATACGCTATGCGCACAACTAACATCAGGAAGAATCTATGTTTTCATCCTATTATGTTGGAAAAAAAGTGTATTGTTTAAGTTTTATTAAGGTTAGAGTGTATAGTGCTTTTGATAATTGAACGTGCAACTTTGTTTATTTCTACGTCACTGCAGTAGTGCGCACCATAATACGGACCTATATATCTACTGGAGTCGTCTGACCAATTAATTATTATTTTCTTTAGAGAGAAGAGGTCGGAGTTATGTCTGTTGTTTTGCAGTAGTCGTGGAAAATGTGTCGTGGAATAAATCACAAATACTGTGTGTTGACAACCGCTGCTCGCTAGAATTCCACCCACATTTAAGTTGTTTGAAATTTATTTGGCAATTACAGAAGATAATTATTTAACTGTGCTAATAGAAATAATGTATGGTTATTTAGATTACATATTATATGCAATGTCAACAGATGTATAACCTTTTGCAATAGGTTTAAATTTTTTTTTGAAAATTGTTTTATACTGCTTATTCAATATTTTCTAATTCTATGATCATTTTAATTTTAATTTACATATTATATGTTGTCAAACACGAACAACTCTATCATATATAATTAAGCACGGTACGTTATTTTGAATTAATTATTAATATAGTACATATTATAATAATATAACGTCAGACACTCATCATCTAAAAAACTATTTACCTTTTTGAAAATATTTTTTACATAATTTGAAGTCGTTAAAAATCAAAATGTGTGTAACAATTATTTTTTATTGTTATCATGTTTTACTCAGATTATCAAATCTTAAATACTTATAACTAATAAACTGCTTGTTCGAAATTTGATTTTTATAAATCAAAATACTCCGAATAATATTGTGTGAAATTAAAAATGTATGTTGTTATTGAAAAAAGTAAAAAACTTTAAAAATGATAACAATAAACAATAATATATTAAAAATATAATTTTTTTTCCAAAACTATTGTTTTGTAACGACTTAAAATGATATAAAAGAAATATTTTAAAAAACGTCAATGCTCTCTGAAATAACGAATGTTGTACGTTAAACGGATCACCCAGATATAAGTTATATAATACATAATACGGCCTCCTGACTCAAAGTTTAAATGTATAAAATAAAGTTATTCTAATACAGTAATACGATGCGCCAAAATATTTCAAATAAAACATAAGTAAACACTCATAGACATTTGAAATTTAGTATTTTTGTGATTGTACTAACTTTTACAATAAACTGATGAGAAAAATGTAGAGATGAGAACTCAAAAACAGACATCATTGTAAAATCAATACATTTAAAGCTCAGCTCAGAATCTAAAATACGTCTTAAAGCTGGTAGATGATTATTATTTATTGGTTTATTACATATTATTATTATACTGTGGGTGGAATATTGTAGAAAAAATTAAAATGACATTAACTGGTTGAGTAATAATTGATTAAAAATATTGTTGGTTTATCACCTTTAGATTTCACTCGTAAATATTTAGACATTACAGTTGTTATTTGAATACTTCATGCTCAACATTGGTAAATGCCTGAATATTCCGACTAAATAAATTTTTATGTTCCTTAAGTCAATGCGAAAATCAAATAATATTTAACGTAAAGTTTTATCGCTAAAATTTTACCTATTATTTTCTTCTTAATTGTGTACCTACTTGTGTCTTGCAATTATATTGTAAAATCGTTGCGAGTATCGAGACTGTTTTAATTGGATCCCTCAAATTGCAGAACGAAAAGTTTTTCTTTAATCTTTCCTTAATAATATTATCTTATGTATTATAATAGTTAGTTGTTATTTTATTGTCTTTCAGAAAACCGTTATTATATTGTATCAGAGTATAAACAGCGTGCATTGTATGTATAATCGTCGGCTTGGGAAAAACAGATGTACCTATCTCATTTTTTTCTTTCATAAAAACAAGTTTGAAATTCAAAACCCTACATATTTTTTTGTGAGTTTTATTAAAAAAAAAAACAAAATGAAAGGTAGGATGGATAACAATTTAATATTGGGCGTCTAATACACTAATACACATTGTAATTCAATGAAACGTTACACAATTATAAATATACCTTGGAAACTAAATTTTGAGAATTACAAAGAAATGTCTATAGATTGGACCCTTACACTCGCTAATAATAAAATGTGTTATTGTTAACATTTCTTCACCACAACACTTTTTAGATGTGGACATTTTAGTGGTCTTGACACGGTTTAAAGTTATTAAATTTAACGGTTCAAGACACATGGACTCGTACCTATCCACTCTACCCCTTCAGTAGAATTTTTGACAAAAGTAGACAATAACTGAATAAATTTAAACCACAATAATAATTATTGATTTATACTGAAAATTAAAATTTGTGTAGCAAGTTGTCGAATATTGGTATTACACTATTTTGTTAATGACAAAATAGTTATATAACATAAATATTGTAAATTTCGAAAACTTTTTTTTTATCAATAACGACAATAATATTAAACTATATCATGTTTACAAGAAATTTCAAAGAGGCTTGTCACTTATTAAAAAAATTTGATTGTGCAACTAATTATTCTAGTTGGTCAATTCAAAACCAAATTTGAAATGTTTGTGCTCAAAAAGTTTGAGACAAAATAATTCTTGAAGTACAAGAAAATGGATTTTTTGCTTTGATGTGTGATGAAGCTAGGTAATAAGTAAAAATATTATAAGTGTCACTCATGACTCGTGTACATACCTATTACAGTACTAAAAATATAAAGTGCTAAATTAATATAGATTTTATCTTATTTAGGAGTTTCAAAGGTGAGCAGATGTCTATATGTTTAAAATATGCTATAGACCTTGAAATACATAAACGATTTTTAGGATTCTTAGAAGGTCAGGATGCAGACTTTTTCGCTACAATGATTTTATTTTTTGTACAACAATCTATGATTGCAGACTCCCATGCCATTCCTCAATCACATGATGGAATTGTGTCATGTCTGGTCATTTGAGGGGGGGGGGGAGTGCAAGCAAAAATAAAAAATAAGTTGCAAGAAGTTCAAAAGGAGTTAGGCATGAAGAATAAAACCATGATCCATATGTCAGATACACGTTTGGTATACAGATACAAATACTGTGAAGCAGTTATTACACATTTTGATGACATTTATTACACATTCTCACCTACACTGAGAGATTGAAGAAAACTCAGATAGAAATGTCAGCCAAACTATTGGTAATAAATATTATAAGTGGATCATTAATTGATTAATGTAATAAAATAAATATCAACCTAATACAATTTTATTAAGTATTATTAATGTACTCAGTAATCAGTTACAACAAAAGACTGCGATATTGGGGAAAGCTGTTGGTATTATTAAGGCAGTTATAGATACTTTTGAAAAAAAAAAAAACGATGTGTTGAGGATTTTACTGTTTTGTGGACTAATATAAAAGTATTTGCATGATAAACATGATATTTTATTAAAGCAAAGTGTAAAATCAAATTAAATTTAAAAAATAAATGTTAACGTATTAGTTATTGTGCTTATTTATAAATTCTTAATTAAATAATAATATACTTTCTAGAGCATTATAGTCAATACTAAATATATAATTGTTGAACGGGTATTGTACGAGTTGCAGCCTGCAGGTATCTGTAACCATAAGAAAATTGATAAAAAAAAATTGAGGGGCTTCAGCACACCCAGTTTTTCATTCGAGCCCCTGGATCGTGGTAAAGAACCTACATTTCTATATTAAGTTCATCTGTTTTGTTGCTTTAAAAATGAGATACAATAACGAGTTCACGAAAAACATTGTGGATTCGTGTACTCTCTACATAATACTATGATACGGTTAGGAGCTTGGTTAGCCTTCAACATTTAACGTTTTAACATAGTTGCGTGGATAGTGTGCAAATAATAAAATAACTTGTTTTTTGTACCCAGGTCATACATAATAATTAATAATTTACGAACGTTCATGTCAATGCGATGGTGTACCTACATGGTGACGGACAACATGATTTATTTTCCACCGAATAAAAGCGTATGTGGATTAATTAAACCGTTAATTTTGTATTACTTTCAGATTTGATGACACTTTTAACACCTGAGACACATGGTGGTATGCATATATATTTAATAGTGTTGAAAGTAAAATTAATTTGTTTGTTAATAATTAGTTTTTACTGTTATATTATTTATTCTAGGGAATTAAAATGTTTTTAACTGACGTCCCTCGGTATAGTCTGTTGTTGCACTGCACGCATACTTTACGCTATTTCTACCCTTCTGCTGACAGCCACGGTAAGTCATGAACATTATGTTCACAACTCGACACCAAATTAAAAAGTCACATATTATTATTAATAATAATTGATCGTACAGTGCAGCATACGAGTAGTTTCATACGCCTTCTGTTTTCAGTTTCAAAGAGCATTCGCATAATATAGGACATTTGTACGATTCATAGATATACCTACGTACTGATAAATGGATTTTAAACGGTTAATACCATAAACCGCTACAGACCAATGTACTAGGTGGTATAGAAGTGTTATCCCACAACTGCACAACTTAATAATAATAACAAGTTCGTTCGCTTCAGTCGGTGACTTTGAGTTTTTAATTAAAAGCCGTCAATATACCTACCTACCTATATACAACAGCAGAGATTTTTCGACGTGCACCAATATTTGGGTGCATTACAGTTCGACGCGATAGGGGGAAAACGGTTAATATCAAAAGTTACACAGGAAACGCAGAAAAACGCCAAAACGAGTTTTCCGCGGACAAAGAAAGTTTTTTATTTCTGTTTAAAGCGCATAACCCCGCAGTAGACATTATGGCAGAACAAGTTTTCACTCGGCTGATATGCTTTGTTGGTAATAAGCGTTAGAAAAAAAAATAATATTAATTTACCAAAAACGGATATTAAATTTATTAACGTAAAGTTTATTCTCGGGTCAATAAGTTTGACGTTATGAGTTTCTATGAACATATTATTGATAACGAAATCGGGTAAGAAAATATATTTTTGAACGAGCCGCTGCTGGTTAAAGCGTTTAATGTTGAAAATGTAAAAATGGCAGTCGTCGAGTGAAATTTACATATGAATTTAGTTAATTTCCAAGGAGTTTTTTGACGATCCAAGATGGTCTTGCACAACTCGGGAAAATGACTGTTAACTCGTTTACTTACCTACATTATTCAAATTGGATCAAAAATAATTTATGGCGGGATTATTCTACTTACTGATTATAGTGTTTTTTTTATTATTAATTCGTTTTACATATTATCGTTTTTGTAAGTTTATTTTGTTATTTTTGGTGTATTAATAGTGTACACGTGCATCAATTCTCACGGTAAATGTACAAATAACAAGAAAAATTAACAAAATCCCAACAACATTAGTTCGGTAAAATATATGGCAAACGAACAATAGTAACTACCATGGCCACATGGACAAATTATGTTTTCTAATATATGAAATAAACTTCTTTCCAAAACGTATTATTTGTTTTGCAAACAATTTTTTATCTTACCGACACGTAATTGCGTATCTTTATTGCGTCTATATGTAGTCTTGTAGAACCACAGGGAACAATCAGTTATGACGTCCTATCATAGAGAACGATAAATGTTCTATCGTCCTTTACTCTTATATATTTCCTAGTGGACAATTTCGATTTGATTCACGTGAGTGAGTGAGGGTAACTCTGAATGCTGACACTGAGCACACGACTCAGAATTTCCATTCTGTTAATAAAACCCTCTCCAGATTTAAGAGTAATGTAAACTCGGTATCTACATCTCTATAAATTCTCAAAAACTAAAGAAAATAAACGATACAAAAATGTTATTCCTATTCTATAGCTATACTAGTCCATGAGGTACTTATTGTAACCCGATAAGTACTAATTCTTGTCGTTAAAATCCCAACAAATTCAAAAGTGCAGTATAATACATATATTTATATACAGCAAAGGAAGATATTTTTCTGTGAGCGAATTGTCTTAATGTGTTATATTATATTATAACTGTATAACAAATTGTAAAGAAATAGTATACCTAAAATTTCATTCGTTCATCGATTATAATTATAATAATATATTAAAATAAAAAAATCATGTTGTGAAAAGATATCAGACAACGTATATCCATTTATTTTTTAATAGGACTCGATAAGTACTAATTCAAGTAGTTAAAATACTAACAAGTACCTATAGGTATTAGATACATTATTATACATACGTATAAACTGCAATGGAAGCTAATAATAATATTGTATTAATGACTTATACTTGTATGACAAATTGTATAGAAACAATATATAATATGTTTCTTCACGGCTCTCGGGGAACAATAATTATAATATTAATATCGTAAATCCAAAACATTTTGTGAAAAGAGATCAGGTTGAATTTATCCATTTCGATGAGTTGGTTTTTGAAAAATTTCTTTTGAAATATTGCCAGTAGCACATTAAGTTACTACGACACAAAAGCTGTCGTACACCACGTGCGTATAATTTATTTTTGAAACGGCTACAACATAATATAAGAATGTGTACGCAGTGTGTACATACTATGTACACACGAACATAGTATAATTGTATACTTTGGAGAATTAATTCTCTCTAAAATATTCGTATTTTGAATGGCTGGTAACTGTTTGCATTGTACGGAAGCTGTTTAAATAATATAATAACACTCCTTTACATTATAGTAGGTACCTGGCTGGTTCCCAGCACGACGAGAAAAAAACTCAGATGAAGATTTGAGAATATTATTGAATAAACCACACGAGTTCTACAACTCTCGATTCGATTCGTAGGTGGTAAATAACATGTATTCGGGTTAATATTATGATATTTATTTGAACATTCATTGGAAATTGTACGAGTATAACTACATGGATCCTTAGAATTCTCGATAAAAAACGGCCTCTTGGCACTGCGATTTTTTTTTATTCATTTTATACACACGACTTGTATAAGGTATGGTATATGGTATATTATGTATGAGAACCGTCAATGTACAATGTACATGTCAAAAAATTGTTAAACCATTTAATTTGAATAAACGACAATATTATGCGAGTTTATTTGGAGAGACAAACCCTTTACGTCGAGATCAAATCTTATAGTTAGGTATTTGGCATTTATAATACCTATTTACTTTGTATTATTCAAACTGAGTCAAAACTTTATTTAATTATAAAGTGATAACAAATTTAATTTACTCATAATATTTTATTATATAAACAATAACCGACATGTATTTTTAATTTACTCACAATGCATTTTCAGTGTTATGAGTAAGAATTGAATTATAATAAATATTAAATTAATAAATAATAATCTCAATAGGCATTAATTCAATAAATTCTGTTCTGAATTATAAACGTATAGTGAAAATGTTTGTTATTCATTACTTTGAATAATAATGGAACAGAACATATTTCGAATAGTTTTTATTTCATAAACGGTTTTGAATAGTTTTAATCGTATTTCGAAATACACAGACGTAAAGTATTTGTGTTCTACTGCAACGACCAAACAATGATTACAGTGTCTGAACAATTGATAGATTTATTATAGTTCTTTGTTTCGTATCAGATAAACATGTCTTCTCTTTTAAACAAAACATCCTCTGTAAAGAACAGTTCACTGAATCGTTTTTAAAAATGGTTAAACAAGAAGTATTATTTTGCTGTTATCATGCAACAAGAATAAATCGAGAATGATTAACTAAACGTTTTTGTATTTTATCATGAAAACCACGTATAAATATATAGATATAAGTAGTATGTATATTTTCAAATTTATATTTGTGAACTACATGTTTAACCATAAGACATTAGCACGATAAATAAATGTTCTTAATTTTTAAATCGTTCGTAACGTTTTTTTTTATCTACTATACCGTATATGAACAGAATAAGATGATTATCGAAAAATAAATTCCAAGCATCATGGAACCATTAAGTTATTTATGTTATTC